CTTTGTTTTAACTTTAGAAACTTGATTTTTCTCAACCCTTGTTTTTGAACAATTCTTTTGAAATATTGAAAGTTCGCATGTTCACTCTGCATGAGGGCTTTTATAGATATGAAAATAAAAATAATTATTTTTGAATTATTACTGTCTTTTATAGTTAGTAAATTAACAGTAGTTTCATCAAATCCGTGACTTGACCAAAATCGACAATCTTCATACCTATATTATGTTGGAAAAAAGGAAAAAATTGGACTATTTTTGCCCTATTTTTTAGAAACATTAGTAAATAAAATATGAAAATTTCAGGAATCTGTTTCAAAATTTTCATGTACTTTTAGAATTAAGTATATAAAACCTCTGAAGGGTTTAATGCTCTTGGCTTTTTTAGAAAACTTGATATTTCTAACCCTTGTTTTGAAACAATTTTTTGAAAACATTGAGTTGAAAAGTTCGCCGTAATCTAAGTACCGACTCGGTACCACCAAAAAAGGAACTATATTTTCAACTCTACGTCTTTTATTAGTCGAATAATAACAGTAATTTCACCAAATCATCGTGCACTTGACTGATCGACATAATTTTCATGACTATTATTATTGGAAAAACAGTTTGAAAAAATCTGACTATTTCCTATTTAAAACATAGTAATAAAATTAAATGAAAATTTCAGGATTTGTTCAAAAATTTTATGTAACTTTTAGGAAGTATATAAACCTTGAAAGGTTTAAATGCTTTTGTTTTATTAAAACTTGATTTTCATCACCTTGTTTTTGGAAAATTTTTTTGAAATATTTGAATAAAAAAAAAAAAAAAAAAAAAAAAAAAAAATCAAATATTTTCGTTACGACAAAAAGAACTATACTTCTGAATTCTACGTCTTTAATAGCTTAATTAATTTACACTAGTTTGCATCAAATCCACGGAACGACAAAAATCCGACAATTTTCATGACTATATTACGTATGGAAAAAACGTTTTAAAATTGACTATTATATTTGCCTCATTTTCGAAACATAGATAATATAAATTATATAAAAAAAAAAAAAAAAAAAAGTTATTATGTACTTTTTAGAAATATTAAACCTTGAAAGTTTAGATGCTTTGGTTTTTTAGGAAAAACTGATTTCTCTCAACGCCTTGTCTTTTGAACAATTTTTGAAAATACTTTGAAAGTTCAAGAGGTTGTTTTAAATTTTATTAAAAAAAAAAAAAAAAAATATATTTTTGAATCTATACTATCTTTTATTAGTTAATAATAACGAGTAGTCTCTCAATCAAATTCGGTGACTTGACCAAAATCGACATTCTCATGACATATAGTTATGTTAAGGAAAAAATTAAAATTGAATTTTGCTATTTTTAGACATGTAAAAATTATTGAAAATTTCCAGGATTTATTTCAAGTATTTATTTACTTTTAGATATATAAAACCTGAAAGGTTTTAAACTGCTTTGGTTTATTAGAGGAAACTGGAATTTTCTCCAACCCTGTTTTGAACAATTTTTGCAAAATATTTGAAAGTTCGCATATACCTAGTACCGTACTCGTACGACCAAAAAGAACTATATTTTTGAATTATACGTCTTTTAATTAGTTAATGAATAACAGTAGTTCATCAAATCGGTGACTGACCAAACTCCGACAATTTTCCCCAATACTTATTACTGTAAGGAAAAAGTTGGAAAAATTGATATCTTTTGCCTTATTTTATTAGAAAACATAGTAATAAAATTATGAAAATTTCGATTTTTTTTTTTAAATTAATATTATCTATAGGTACTAATATATAAATTCCGCCAGACCAGTTTAAATTGCTTTGGTGTTTATTAGGAAACTTGACTTCTTCTCGACACCTCCTTGTTTTTTGAACAATTTTTTTTTTTTGAAAATGTATTTAAAGTTCGCATTAATCACCTATCAGATTACCGTACTCCGTTCACGACCCTCACTATACAAACCAACCTCCCTATATCATTCTCTTTGAACATTTTACCGTCTTTACATTGGTCTCAATACATACACAAGCTAGTTTTTATTCACAATCGTATCGGACCTTGACCAAATCGCACCCACCATTTTCTTACATGATTAAAAAACTAATGACCCTTGTCGACCCCACATCATTGCAGCCTTGCATTTTTCGCCTTTATTTTCCAGCAACCCAACATCCAGTAATAAAATTTATGGAAAAATTTGCAGGATTTGTTTCTTCAAAAATCTTTAATGTACTTTAGATAATACCTTGCAAAGATTATCACATGCTTTTGGTTTTATTAGAAACTTGATTTTCTCATCCCTTGTTTTTGAACAATTTTTTGAAAAATGTTGAAAGTTTCGCCTACATCTCAGTACCGTACTCGTCACCACCAAAAAGACTATTTTTCAAGTCTACGTCTTTTAATAGTTAAAACAGTAAGTTTCAAAAAATCCGTATCGACAATTTTCATGACTCTATGTATGGAAAAAAAGTTGTGAAAATTGACAATTTTGATAGGCAAATGGTATATAAACAGAGTTATCTACAACGTACTCTACACTCCACAGTTCTTTATACACCATACATTGCAGCACCTTTTCTTACCAAAACCTGCATTCCATCAACAGGGTTAATATGTATTTGCAGTCTCAATTTACTATCAACAACCTGAAATTTGACACCTAAAAAACACCAATTTAAAGTAAATAATTTCATATTTTGTTCAGAGAAATATTTAACATAAAAATTTTAAAGTACCAGTAACATACATAGCTTCAGTTTGTCAAGTTTTTACATCATCCCCAGTGCCATAGATCCTTTCTCGTATTGACATAATGCTAGACAAATCTTTCTACCTTGCCAAAAACGCCGTGTCTGTTTATTCGTGTAACAGGACGGTACCCAGTGAACTGTCGATTGATTGATGTAACCGTAGGGCAACAGTTGTCCTTCCTGTATTTGAATATGCATTATTCTGTCAATTTTGACAAATCTCACACCTGTGACAACCCTGGAATAAAAATCGAGATCTAAGATAGAAATTTATTACCTTCAAATATTAGTCCAGGCTTTCAGACAGAGCTACATATTATTACTCAGAGTAATAATATGGTATAATAAATTTAAAGGCAGTGTGACCATATATTAAGGCCCTATTTCTTTCTTAGGAATTAAAAACCCCTGTAAAACCGTGTCATATACTGGCTTACACCCCTGAGACTGTATGATGGGTTATAACTCAAAAGAGGGGGACATGATATACAATCTTATAAACTGGTTTTGGGTAATATGATGGTTTATTCTGATGACATTACCTGTTCTTCTTGGTGTCTGACAGGACGGGTCTCAAATTGATGAATCTGTCAGAATTGATGTTGGGGTCGTCGCAAAGGCACATACAGTAGGAACAGTGAAAGAACCATCGGTACCAACTGTCAACTGGTTTCTTCCAGCAACTTGACTGCTTTCCGTAGTACTTGCCGCTCTCGAACTTGATAAAATTGTATCTCCTACTACGTGTTTTCTGAAAAAAAAATACGCATAAGGTGGCTATTCTGATTTTAATTATTGAATAAATGTATTAAAAAATATAAGTTAGATACGTGCTCGCAATGACTAAAGAATGATCTCGTGATAATCTACCCCGATGAAAAAAAACTTGGGACAACACTGGGTAACGATCTATGCCATACGCGGCTAAGAAAATAATTATAATAAACTTGATTTGCTTTTAACTTGCGTTGAATTGCTTTGAACTTGCGTTTTTTCAAAAAATTTAAATACGATAGTATGTGTTATTTTAGCTGATAGTAAAGAGTAGTAAAAGCTTAAAAAGTCAGCGAAACCCGCATTTTGATATCTTCTTTCAAACCAAAGATATTAACAAAATTATAATAAATACCAAAAAATAAGTCCTTAATTACCTTATTTTTACAATACAGTATCAGTAGCCCTCTTGATTAGGCCCATTCTAACAAAAAAATAAGATAGAAACAGTTAGTTTATTTTAAAATCGACGAAATACCAGAATACCATAATACCAGATGTATTAATATCTTAATTATACATTTGGTATTAAGATATTCTGGTATATTGTCGATTTTAAAATAAACTAACTGTTTCTATCGTATTTTGAGGTTAGAATGCTACTTGTTAAGCTTTTACTACTCTTTGCTGTCAGCTAAAATTACGTATACTATTGCATTTAGTTTTTTTGAAAAAACGCGCAATGTTTCTTAAATTGTAAGACAACGCCCCCTAGCGTCTACGTTCAAAAGTTTATTATTATTGTTTATATGGTACAATATAGAGTAAGAAATGCTCTTTTAAACGAGCCCTCTCTTGTTGGATTCCGATCATCCAGTCCAGACTTATTAATATTCAAATAAAAACAGATCTAACCTTCCCCCACCACTTTATTTTGGTAGATAGGGGAAAATGGCTCTAACAAAAAATATTCAAAATTTACTGAAGATTATGAAGCTGTTACTTATAGTACACCTTATCTAGGCAAAATTGTGTAAATACTTCATTTTCTTATTTTTTGTTGCAGTTGCGCCCCCTAGCGGTCGTTCTACAAACTTAAATATTTTTTTCCGCAGCCGCTACGGTTAATACATTCCGAGATACAGCCGAGAGCTATTCTTAGTGGGACACCCTGTACATATTCTATGAGTTTACCTAACGGTTAAAATTAATTTAAAAATTAATCCCCAATATGAATAACGAATAAATCATTTAAACAAAAACAGGCCACAGACCACACAAAACAAATTGTTGGTTAGTAGTAGTCAGAGATATAGATGTAGTAGTATTTTGGTTTAATGGCCACAGTGATAGAATTATCGTTTTTAATTAAAATTAAAAAAAAAAACATAAAATTATAAAGCTAGAATAGTATACGGTTTTATATTAACTCTAATTTTTTCGAAGTTTGTAAAAAGCATTCATAAAAAATATATATCCTTCAAATCCCTCAATTTGTCTCAATAGCTGTTAGTAAGAAGTTTTATTTCAAATATGCGCAAATAGTGCACATCCAATTTTTTTTTTCATTTTTTACTTACAGATGTGCAAATTTCCATGTGGCTTTCGATGAAGTTACAGCCGAAAATTTGCCGTTGCACTTCTCCATATTCGTGCAGTAATCGCTGTCTTCATCGTAACAACCGTAATTTTTGCTCGTGTAGTAAGCTGCGCAGTTCTTGGTACATGTACCTCGCGGGTTCATGTCAACTTCATTCTGCACGTGCCCTTGAAGCAGTCTAGTGAATTCGTCGTATGTTTCACCTAAACAGACAGAGCAATATTTTATGTTTGCTATTTTTTTTTCGGTAGTAACTCACCTAAACTGTGGTATTTTGGGTCACACCTCCATAGTTTATCAGTTGCTAATTCCATGGCACCTCGAAAGACTGTCATGGTTTCGTTAACTCGTCTTTCAAAATTGTTCCTGATTATTATTGCTTCGTCAGTGTAATTCCCTAGGAAAAAGTTATGTTTAAATAAAATTACTAAATCAAAACATTTAAATCTATAGTTTTAGGTGTAAAGACTGTTCAGCCATCGTTCATCGTTACGTCATCATTATTTGCCAAATACGAGTTTTAGGGTGTGTCTGAGATCAGTTCGTATTGTTCAGAATATTTTAAGTACGTTCCTAAATTATTGATTGAGCGAGTTCCGGTTTTTTTTTCGGCATTTATTCATTTTTTCTTCAACTCTTACGATCCCTTTAATTCCAATCCTTTGAACTGTTGAAATTCCTATTTCTAAAGCATCAACAAATGGCTATATTATTTAAAAAGCTATCAATTTTTATTTTATATAGGAATATTACACCTTCGCATTGTACTTACTTCATATACGGCGTACACGGGCAAAAGTGTTCTACAGCAGCGTCTCTTTCGCGAGAAAAATTATTTATAAGCTTAGCAATAAGATCATGTTCATTTTATTTAAATCTTTGAGGTATTTTTGCAATAAAAAAATTTGAATTTTGTTTTACAGGAACAAATTTTAGTTTTGACTTATATCGATGCCGGTAATTACAATTATAACCTTAAATCCAATGACAATGACAATTACAAGAATATGCAGTAATTTACAAAATGCCGTAATGACCTCACCGGTCTCTTTAATCTGGTTGGCAAGTTATTGAGACGGTTCGACAATATATGACGTCACGTTAAACGATGGCTGAACATTCTATACCTTTTCCTCCTTGTTCAACTTGTCTCATCAGATTAACGAATTGTAGCATCACGTAACTTTTCAGACCATTCAAAGCTACAGCATTGTACAAATTGTAGTACACCTGTCTCTGAGACTGGAACATGTCTTTGCAGTAGTAGTCGTCTTCAAGGAACTACAATATATTTTTTTCGTAATATTTTATTATTATACCGGGTGTTTTTAAAAGTGTCTTGCCCCAATTACTTTTTTATTTTTTCAGATAAAAAAAAATGAGATTTGAGAAGATGCACCAGGTCTTGTAAAATTGTTTCTTTTACTTTTCATCGGGGCATTTTTATTCTAATTTGTTTATCTGATGTTAATTATCAAGAAACACGCGTCGTTTTTTGCTAAAAGTGGTTTTTATTGAGTTTTATCCCTAATTTTCTTTATAGTATACGAAGCTGATGCACCAGGTCTTGTAAAATTATTTCTATTACTTTTCTTCGGGGCATTTTTATTCTAATTTGTTTATCTGATGTTAATTATCAAGAAACACGTACGGTTTTTGCTAAAAGTGGTTTTTATTGAGTTTTACCTCTAATTTTCTTTATAGTATACGAAGCTGATGCACCAAGTCTTGTAAAACTGTTGCTATTGCTTTTCTTCGAGGCATTTTTATTCTAATATGTTTATTTGATCTTAATTATCATGAAACACGCGTCGTTTTTTGCTAAAAGTGGTTTTTATTGAGTTTTACCTCTAATTTTCTTTATAGTATACGAAGCTGATGCACCAGGTCTTGTAAAACTGTTGCTATTGCTTTTCTTCGAGGCATTTTTATTCTAATTTGTTTATGTGATGTTAATTATCAAGAAACACTTGTCATTTTTTGCTAAAAGTGATTTTATTGAGTTTTTTTTTATCTCAAATTTTCCCTATAGTATACGAAGCTGATGCACTAGGTTTTGTAAAATTGTTTCTATTACTTTTCTTCGAGGCATTTTTATTCTGATTTGTTTATCTGATGTTAATTATCAAGAAACACGCGTCGTTTTTTGCTAAAAGTGGTTTTTATTGAGTTTTATCCCTAATTTTCTTTATAGTATACGAAGCTGATGCACCAGGTCTTGTAAAATTGTTCCTATTACTTTTCTTCGGGGCATTTTTATTCTAATTTGTTTATCTGATGTTAATTATCAAGAAACACGTGTCGTTTTTTATTAAAAGTGGTATTTATTGAGTTTTATCTCTATTTTTTTTATTCTTTCAAATATGCGCGCATAGTGCACACCCAATTTTTTTTTGAAAAAATAAGAAAGTTATGAAGGTAACCATCCAGTATCTCTAAACCTATTCTTACTTCGAATATTTTCAGTATCATGTTCTCGCTACCAAACGTCAGGTCGTAGACGTTATGAACTGTCACATTAGCACCCATTTTTTTGTTGGAGATATCCCTGATGATTTCATCAGAGTCCACCATGTTCTCTATGAGTCTTTTGTCGCCCAAAGTGGCATTTTTTTGATCTTGCAAATACTGTCGGAATTTTTCGTACAGATTTTCGGTCTGTCTCAATTCCGGATAGAGCAGTATGAAGGAATGGATATGCTTGATAGGGTTTAGGCCCAGTAGAATATCTTCAGGCATCTGGGAATTTTAAATCGGATTATTTTTTTATGAAATGAAATCTGCAGGCGCTGAAATTGTTGCTGAAACGATTTCAAATTAATGTTCATACATATTGTCTTTTTTTATTAAATCACATGTTATACAGGATGTTTTATAAATAAATGGATGATATACAGGATGTTTTATACATATTCTTTAAACTGTAATACTACCCTTAAAAATATTCGAACTGTACAAACCTGTTTAATTCTTTCGTCGTATTCACTAAACTTGTTCACCAAATACAACTCCGAATCACCGAGATCGATATTCGGTGTTTCCCACAGCACGTACTTCCACAATTCTTCTTCCATATTCAGGAATTCCATTCTTAGTCTGTCCACCAAAATTACTTCGTTACAAGCAATCGCGCCCACGAGAAGAAATAATGAAATTATTCGAAACATTTTGAATTGTGTGTGTACAATCACAGTTCCGAAAAAGAACTGGATATCTCAAAACAGGCAGCAGTCGTACCGATTGTACTATCAGAACGCCTTGTTTACACTCTTTTTTTTCTCTTTCATGAACATCGTTGTGGGCGATTGATAAACTTTGGCTAGTTGATAAGACGCTGATATCGAGGTTCTTGTCGCTTTGATGGAGAACGCTAGACCATGTAAACATTCATAGAAACAGCTGCACGCCAAATTTTTTACTTTATTCGATAGAAAATGACACAAGTTCAATCTAGAGTGCCATGGCTGTGTCAAAAACAGTAACTTTTAATCAAGGAGCCTTGGAAAAATAGAAAAACACCTTGAAAAGCACACATTACTTTGAATACCTTTCTGAATGAATAAATGTTGAGAATTATTGTCTCTTACCGCCACTTTACGAACTACTTTCAATCTAAGAAAATACATGTTTCCACTCAACAATTTTAAATACGTGTTTTGTGTTTTTCGCTATTTTTCGATGTATTTCGACAATTCCGTCGACAGCCCAACCGTCGGCGCATCACTGGTTGGTAACTGCTCTTTGTCGCGCCGGCGTGTCGAGCTTGCGTCATGCGAGGTTGCCGTAGTTTCAACAATTTCAAATTCAAGACACTCGAAGCAATCAAATTCTTATTAAATTTTAAAAATAAAACAGAAAAACATGAAAGGAAACAAACAAAACACAAATGAATTGATTATTGATAAGGCCACAAAAAAGAAATTTCTAAAATGTTTATCGTAATTCATAATTCAATATATCGAAAACAGCCCGACGAATAATCAATTTATTTTTGTTTTGTTTGTTTCTTTTCATGTTTCTCTGTTTTATTTTTAAAATTTAATACGAATTTGATTGAATGTCTTGAATTTGAAATTGTTGTAACTACGGCAACGTTACTGCTTCGTCGTCCGACGCAAGCCAGCCACGACGGCGCGGCTCAAAGGACCAGTTCACGTGGCACTCTTGGCCGACGCGCGACGGTTGGGCTGTCGAAATACATCGAAAAAATAGCGAAAAAACAAAATACGTATTTAAAATTGTTGAGTGAAACATGTATTTTCTTGGATTGAAAGTAGTTCGTAAAGTGGCGATAAAAGACGGTATTCAAAGTAATGTGCGCTTTTCACAAGGTGTTTTATAAATCAGTGGTTCAAATAAAACAGAGAACATGAAAGAAAACAAACAAAACAGAAATTAATCGATTATTCGTTGGATTCGCTGTTTTCGATATATTGAATTCTAAATTACGATAAACATTTTAGGAATTTCTATTTTGTGACCTGGTTATGAATAATTTTCGTAAACGTCATAAACGTAATGTTTTAGTTAACTTTCGGTGGTTTTTGTTAAGTTTTCATTGAAAGGGTAAGTACTAAAAATAATTAATGTGATTTTTTTTCTGTAATAATTATTAATAATGAGCACTGATAAAGATTAAATTTAACATCCTAATTTTTGAGTAGAAATTTGTCTATGAATTTATAAATGTAGAACTATGTAAAATGTTGATAACATAGGAGGTTGCAACACTGCAAGGTTTAGATACACCGTAGAGAAATCTCAGGTGAATAAACAAGTGGCACTAAAAAGTTTTTTCAAATTTCCCGGAAAATGTCGAGAAAAATTTTAAATTTTCAACATTTTTTTTTCGCAAAAAGAACCCTCATAGGCGTGATTCTGGGATTGAACTATACTACCAGTTAAAATATTTGCACTTATTTCTGGGACACCCTGTATAAGGGAAGAACCATTGGGACGAGAGAAGAATTACAGAAGGCTACTAGGCAAGCTTTTGGACTTATTACACCAGTTTGCCTAATAAATTGTTGTAATCTCTGTGCGCAAAAGATGTTTATTGTGTATTCAACAAGGGGGTGCTCAGTTTGAACATCTTTGATGATTTTTTTTTAGAAAACTATATTCGTCACTCAAAAAATACTTTTACGTACTTGTTTTTGTTTATTGTATCGATTTCAATTGTAATTACTAATACTAATATAGAATGTTAATTTTCCTTTTCAAAAGTCTTTAATTATGCAGATAAATAATAATATAGAATATTAAATTGCGATAAAAAATAATTAGGCAAATAGGCCAACACAAAATCAAGGCCCGCTTCGAATCAAAACCTAATATTTCTCTCATTCTTAGAAATAGATGTCCATAATTTTAGATCATTGGAAAGGGTAAAACGCCAGCATTTTTTTAAGTTCATAGCCAAACTATGATTTCCATTTAAAAAATTATATTTTTTATTATTTCTGACAAAAACAGCAAGCATGGAAAAAACTGACTACGCCACTGGATTGTGCCTGAAAAAGTGCCTTAATAACGCTTTTACAGAATTTTATTAATCCGCAAAATAAAAAAGTTATGGACAATTTTCAAAATGGTAAAAATTTCAAAAAGACCCCGTATCTCAGTTGGCAGTGAAAATATCAACAGGCGGTTTAAGCTATTAAACGTTTAAGCCATTAATGCTCTATCTAGTCAGGAAATAGGTTTTCTCTGTTAAAACAGACCAATTTTGACCACCCTGTACAACGAACTAGTGGAAAGAAAAGACATTCTCTTTAAACGATTTTAAAATAAATATTGATAATATTATTGTGGCAATGAATACATTATCAAAATTTGTTTGGAGGGAATCGAAACCAGAATGTTGTGGAATATCAATGTTACAGGAAATCGTAAAAAAGAACGATAATATTGGATTTGTTCAGTTTATTTAAATAATAATATTTAAACTGGGCGGTTACAATCAAGTTTAACTAAAGATATAAAACGTAAACAGATTAATTTAATTGCAATATAAATAATGATACAACATTAAAAGCTGTTAAGTCGCTTATAAACTAGGGCGGGTCAAAAAAATCGACTATTTTTTTCTTCGCCTTTCAGTTTTCTATTTTTTCCTTATTATTAGAAAGAAAAATTCATATCTCGTCTCATATATTCGTAGGAAAATTAATTCTCTACAAAAAAGGTCTCTGACAATTTTTTTGTAAGCCTCACCGTTCGAAAGTTATTGAAGGTTGAAGTTTGATTATTTAAAGGCAGATTTCTTTTTTCTTATGAATTTTATAGCTCGTTAACAAAAAATCATTATAATACACGAAAAATTCGCTGCTCTACAAAAATGTTTTTTATGCTCAGTCGATTAAATTAACGGTTTAAAAGATTATTCATCGTCAAACTTCGATACACAATAATTTTAACAGTTTTTGTTTAATAATTGGAACAATTCCAATTTATTTTATGAGTTTCTGGGATTTTTTTTCAAATTTAAGGTTCTGTCGTGATATGTACATCCTAGTACATCCTGTTACTTATATTGTTATTGTTATTTAATATATTCGTTAAGTATTTTATCGTGAGTTTAAATTAGTGAACACACGGAATCCGTAACAATATTATAAGAATAATAAATTCTCGAACAGAGAACTTCCATTTTTTTTTGTTTCACGACAGAAACTTAAATTGTAAAAATTTTCGATAAACACAATGCTGTAATTATTGTTAAAACCACTGGTGAATCTTCCAGTGTATATGCTAGAATCCGTCTTACCTGAGCGGTAAAATATTAGGCGTAGATGTAGCTTTAGGTATATAAACTTAGTAGACATTTTTCGAAAAACTTTCTATACTTAATACAGAGCGACACATTTTTGCTCGGTATGTGTAGACAGAGACTGCTATACTAAAGAAGTGACAGGAATGTATATCACTTGTCACTGTCATTTGTCAGAAACAAAATTATCTAGGTGTTTTATATAGTCGTAGGTCTTTATTATCGGCGTTACGAAACCGCCGTAAGATTCCCGTCCTCTGTATAAAATTCCGGCTCCCATTAAAGGTACGGCTGGCTTGGCGACCACCTCTTGAGCGTCGAAAAACGGAATCGCCGTCTGTGCCACATCCCTTTCGAAATCGGTGTGCGTAAACTCCAAGTACTGCCCGGAACTACCGAAATTTACCATGGAGGGCGGACCCGGTGATTTCGTAGGCACGTCGGCCTTTTTCAGATCGATTTTCGACCTGAAAAAAAAGTTTGGTATGCTATGGATGTGTAAATGTATCGATATGGTATCGATATATCGAAATATCGATATAGTATTGATATATCAAAATATCGATATAGTATCGATATATCAAAGTATCGATATAGTATCAATACATAAAAATATCGATATAGTATCGGTCTATCAAAATATCGATATAGTATCGATATATCAAAATATCGATATAGTATCGATATATCAAAATATCAATATAGTATCGATATATCAAAATATCGATATAGTATCGATATATCAAAATATCGATATGGTATCGATATATCAAAATATCAATATAGTATCGATATATCAAAATATTGATATAGTATCGATATACAAAAATATCGATATAGTATCGATATAGTGTCGATACGTCAGATTATCGATATAACAAAATATCGATATACAATAATAGCGATATTGTATATAACATAATAGCGATAATACAAATGTAACATAATGTCGATATACAAAATATCGACATAATAAAATATCGATATAGGTTTTTTACATGCTTTTAAATGTGATTAGCCTCACCTCCTTTGGGTAGTTCCGTATACATCATGACCTTTCTTCTGGTCTACTGTACCATTGGCCCAGTTGAACAAATTGAAATGGACCACAAAATAAATTCTTCCGTTTATTAAATTGAAGCGTACTCCTAGAATTTTTAAGTTAATATTATGTTGGTTTGCAAAAAAAAGGAAAAAGAATTCTTGGGAGTAATTTATAATTAATATCAAATATATTATAAGACTATAGCTAGTACCGCATTTACACAATGAGTGGAAAGTGAAGCCGAAGAAAAGAAATAGGAATATCAATCTTGCAAAAGTCTATTCTTTTCGTTCAACAGGATGTTCGTGCGCAGGCGCCAAATAAAACGATCTGATTTGTCTACTTACTTACAACTCTAAATATTAATAACGTATAATATATTATTTTTTATTGGTAATGGCATTATTTCAACCTGTTATTTTAGATATTCATCATATCTATCCGTTTCTTGTTTTTGTTTAAATATGTCAGAGATTAAATTTAAATTTATAAGTAAAGGCGCGAATAGTCAGACGCTAAATTGTTTTACGTGGTAGACAGAAACTTAGAAAACTACTTCTGTTGGTTAGTATGAAATAAATCAACTAATCGCGAAGCACTTCTTAGGCTTGCGTAGTTCAAAACTGTTGAACGAAAAGGGCCGACTTATGTGGATTTTGTATAGCTCCATCTCAAAAATGTGGCTTCAATGCCTTATAATATATTTGATTAATATCTAAACATGTCTTTGTTTTTAATATTTCCCTAGAAAACACGTGTCATATTTTTTTGATACTTTGAGCAAATTATTTTGTATGTCTTGAGCTTCATGGTTTAAAATTAAATAGTTTAGATATGAATCGTTATTGTTTTGTACTTTACCTGTTACGACATAACCTTCCATGGTTTCTTGTATATCATCTAAAGCCATACTTCTTTCTGAATAAGTCAGCATAAAGTAGTCTTTTTTGTTGTATACCCCAGGATCTGTGATTTTGTAATCATCAACTGGTTTCCACCGTACTGTATTCTGATCGATCAAACCGTAGGGCAATAATTTACCTTCTTGGATTTGTATGTGAATGATTTTGTTCTTTTTTACGAGTCTCACACCTGTGATAACTCTATAATAGGCTAGGTTATATCGTTTGACTGAACAATCTATCTGAATCTTTACCTGTTATATTCTGTGTCTGCGTTGACAGATCTCAGACTTACGTATCTGTCAGATAGCACGTGTTTATCGTCGCATATACACATGCAGTAGTGACATCGGACGAACCATCTAGTCCAACTTTTTATAGGCAATAAATGGCTGCAAAAGTTTTTTTTGCCCAAAGTTCGTCCGCTCTTGTATTTGACAAATTCGTATTTTCTCAATGGCGAAGTCTGAAAAAAATGAATTTATAGTCCAGCTTCATCAAAAATATCGATAGATCAAAATATCGATAGATCAAAAAATCAATATATCAAAGTATCTATGATTTAAAATATCAATATATCAAAATATCGATAAATCAAAATATCGACACATCGAAATATCGATATATCAAAATATCGATATATCAAAATATTGATAAATCAAAATATCGATAGATCAAAAAATCAATATATCAAAGTATCTATGATTTAAAATATCAATATATTAAAATATCGATATATCAAAATATCGACACATCGAAATATCGATATATCAATATATCGATATATCAAAATATCGATATATCAAAATATCGATATATCAAAATATCGATATATCAAAATATCGATATATCAAAATATCGATATATCAAAATATCGATATATCCAAATATAGATATATCAAAATATCGATATATCAAAATATCGATATATCAAAATATCGATATATCAAATTATCGATATATCAAAATATCGATATATCAAAATATTGATATATCAAAATATCGATATATCAAAATATCGATATATCAAAATATCGATATATCAATATATCGATATATCAAAATATCGATATATCAAAATATCGATATATCCAAATATCGATATATCCAAATATCGATATATCAAAATATCGATATATCCAAATATCGATATATCCAAATATCGATATATCAAAATATCGATATATCAAAATATCGATATATCAAAATATCGATGTATCAAAATATCGATATATCAGGATATTTCAAAATATCGATATAACAAAATGTCGATACATGAATTTATCGATATGCCAAAATATCGATATATCAAAATATTTATAATTTAAAATATCGATATATCATACAATTTATCTTTGAATTTAAATGACAGACACAACTGACTGTCATATATCTTCGCAGACAGACTATATTCATATTATATATTTGATGAAAAAAAAATCATTTTTACCGATAGACAGACATCTGCGTTGGATTCGATAAAAATACATTCGTATATTCTTCCGTTGCACTGTCGTTCTTTTTGACAGAACAGGCTCGTGTGATCGTAACAGGTCTCTCTTTTGGTGGAATAATAATTGGAACAAGTGTTTCTGCAAGTTTTTGACGGACTCATGTCCGCCTCGTTCTGTATGTGGCCCTGAAGAAACAGCGTAAATTGTTCGAAGTTTTTACCTGAAAAAAAAACACAAATAATCTTATTAAATCAGGTATAGGACCTGTATATACGTTCATATTGTCTATATGTATAATGGTGTTTAAAAGCGGTATGTATGGTTTTATTTTTACCTTCTTTGAATCGTTTTTGGATCACATTTCCAAATGTCGTTGGGCAAGGCGAAATCTAGAAAACTCACTGGTACTTTTCACTCGTTTTCGTATGCTTTTCTTGAAATTTCCGCTTGCTTCAAAGCGTCATCTAAAATGTACATAAAATACCGTATGATCGAATAAAAACGGCGTCAGCGATGGCTATGAAATGAAGATCGCTGTCATTTTACATGTAAAATTATATGGGGAATGTCATCGATCGTCATTTCCAAGCCAACTGGACGCCATTTTTTTTTCGATCATACGGTATTTTAAGAGTAATGGTATATAAAACAACCCCAGAATACCCAACTGACAAAGGAGTACGATATGGAGACCCATAATGTTCATATTTATTGAAAAATTGATTAATGTTGATATCTTGATATATAATTGATATCAAATATAGGTTATATACCTTCTTGAAATAGTTTTTTAATAAAACAAGTAAACTGTTCCATGACATAAGCTTTCAGGTTAGCCAACGTGAAAACATTGTACAGGTTATAGCTGAGCTGTTGCGGTGACTGTTGGTAGTTCTTGCACCAAAAACTATTCCACAAAATCTAAAATATATTTTTTAAAACCTAAGCAACAAAAATCTAAGAAGTCGTTTATTCGTTATTTTTGTTAGTCTTTTTATTCAATATTCCTTACCGCCGGTATTTGTATCATCAAAGTATCATTTTTAGTTCCATTTGCCAGAATTCCACTAATTTCAAAAATTCGCTCTATCGATACTTTCGTGCCACTTTTTTTATTTCTCACATGGTATAATATACTGTCAAGGGATATATACTCGTGGTCCTCTAGTTTGGAAAGCAGACCTTTCTGATATTCCCTGAAACTTTCGTAGTTGTAATGAATAGCCTTCAATTCGGCGTACAAGTTTAGAAAAGCTGGTAAATGTGTCAAAGGTTCCAAGCTTTCGATTATGTCTTCGGGTACCTGGGGAAAATATTTAAAAATGGAAAAAATAGGATTTTTTTTATTAATATTCTTATTACCTGCTGTAATTTTTGATCATATTCGTAAAACCTCCTTACTAACGCAGTTTCATCATCTGTAGTGCTAGACCACAATTCCTTTTCAAGATCGTGGAAGTCCAGTCTCAGTTTATCGACTAAAAGAAACTTTTTCGAAGCTAAAACTTCGAAAGTCAATAAAGATAATATAAGCAACAGATTTAGTAACATCCTGTTGCTGGAATGTATATATTCACTTCACCACATCTGCTAGCAGACTGCCATGAACCTGGACACACGATAAACTCAAGCCCGATAAAGAATTTTATTGATACAGGGTGATATACTTTTTATTGGCAAGACTTCAGTCGGTAGAAAAAAATTATATCAACATGGAATCCAGTGCTTTTTAATGAAAAGATTATTGTTGTATAAGCTAAATTATTAGGCTATGAATACAGCTGCTGACTACTGCAAACTGTTGCTAGGATATTCTATTAATTTTAATTGTATTTTTTTAAACATTGGGGTGAATGATCGTAAATTTTTTGTGTCTTGTTGCTCAAATCCAGTTTTTTCAGTTAATTAAAACAGGACCATCCTGTATAAAAATTTATTAAGCGTACTTATTTATTTATTTGTTTATTCTTACACCATTTTAACATTGGCTTATTTAAGTTAAAGCGTAGCTAGGTATGGGGATTCACGTAAAAAAAATATATACTACGACCTAAATTCTAAAGTTTTTCGACATATTTGATAAGAGATAAAGTAATATATTTACTCTGTAATCTATGCGGAGAATCTAAAAAACTGTCAAAAGAAAATATTGATACAGTGTGTCATATAAATAAGTGCAATAATTTAAGTGGCAGTCCTTTTTGGCAAAAAAAAAATTGTTGTAAACTTTACATTTTTCTTGGCATTTTTGGGAAACAAAATAAACTCTTTAGTGCTACAGGTTCATTCTCCTGAAATTTCTTGACGATGTATCGAAGCCTTGCAATGTTGCACCTCCTTATTTTTAATAAATATCTTTCCATAAAATCAATAAAATGAAAAATATACGAAATAATATACATGTACTGATTTCTTTCGAAAATCGACATCTATGAAACTACGAACCCTTCCCGGACACAAACGGTACATTGTGAGACAGGAAATTGTAGAGAGAAGCAAGCCCTATAACATAGGATACAACATTTTAATGAACAGTGCTTTCCATAAAATCAATAAAATGAAAAATATACGAAATAATATACATGTACTGATTTCTTTCGAAAATCGACAACAATGAAACTATGATCCCTTCCCCGACACAAACGGTACATTGTGAGACAGGAAATTGTAGAGAGAAACAAGCCCTATAACATAGGATACAACATTTTAATGAACAGTGCTTTCCATAAAATCAATAAAATGAAAAATATACGAAATAATATACATGTACTGATTTCTTTCGAAAATCGACAACTATGTATATATGTAACTATAATTATAAATTCAAATAAATATAAAACATCTTAGAATTTCCTGCCAAGTGATGTGATAATGATATTAAGAAAGTTTCCAATAATTTTGACTGAAAAATGAAAAATAAAACAACACATTTACTTAAAAAATAAATACTTATTTATTTATAGCTACCATAAGCAGGACGAAATTCACTACACAACAAAGTCCAATATCAAAATCGGTGTTAATATTACTTGGTAATATTAACAGTAAGAAAAAAACCTTAAAAAATAATTTCTAAGTAGATGTTTAATGACTTTAAGGAAAAGCCTCATTAAGGTACTTGCTGACGTCAAAGGTGATGATTTTGGGCGTTATAAAACCACCAAAGTAGCGCCTGCCCTTGTGGAATATCCCTGCCCCAGAGAGAGGCACTGCTCGAACTGATTCCAGCTGAAATATAGTTAAAAATATGGTTAGACTAGATGATTTAGAGTAAGAATTGGTCTTAGAGTAAGATGCTGTGGTAATATTTCGGTATTTATTAGCTTTTATATTGAACGATTTGATTAGAATGATTATTAAACAATTACAGTGATTTTAGGAACAAAATATTTCAGTTTCAGATGTTTTTTTTTGTCCAAAAACTACATTATACATTGTTTTTTCCTCTTTTCTGTCATTTTCTTCCAATAGGTTTGCTATAAAATGTCTAGCAAATTTAATGTTAATAAAGTGACTCTGACTTGAGTGTTGGGCATCAAAATCATTTGTTAGTTTAACTAAAAGCAACTTGAATAAAGAGTTTGCGATGCCTCAATAGAGACGATCTACTCGATCATGTATAAATTGTAATACCAATTTAAAGTCTTTACCTTTTGAGTGTCAAAAAATGGGACTGCGGTTTGTGCTGCATCGCTACTAATGTCTGAATGGGTGAATTCGATGAACTGATTCGTTTTTGACATTGGTACCGAAGATGTAGTCGTTTTAGTTGGTATATCTGGACGATACAGATTCAGTTTGGTCCTAGAACAAAAAAGTATTCAAATTTCATCGATCTTCATCTTATTCCTATTCCTATTTATGAAAAATAATTGTGACATGTTTACCTAGGGTTTTTATGTGAGACATCTGTAGTTGGATTATCCTTCCATGTACTGTGTTCAGGTTTGAGTTTGCCAGTGTCAAAATCGAATTTGGTAGTGTATATTTCGAAGTTCAGATGCGTTCCTAGCTCCTTGAATCGAACACCTGCAATACAACAACGATATATTATTGTTATTATTTGTGTCTATTGAAGGGTATGTTGCTTTTGTTAGTTTACCGGTCATGACGTAGCCATCATCTGCTTCCAAGTCGTCCAAATCTAGTATTCTCTTCTCCCAGCTAAGTGTATGGTAGTCCTGCCCATCGAAAACTTTTCTGCCTGTTATTTTATAGTTATCCACAGGTTTCCAACTCAGACTACTCGCATTTATGTTCAATCTAGGCAGCAATTCACCTTCTTGAATCTGTAGATGTATGAGACGGTTCTTTTTGACGAATCTTAGTCCTGTGACCACCCTATAAGTAAAGGATGTGACTTTTAAAGTTTTTATTAAGCTAAAACATTGAATAAAAAATCTATGGACAAAAACGAGTTCTTACTTATTGTTCTTGATGTCTGACAGAACGGCTCTCATGTTGATGTATCTGTCTGATATGGGTCCTTGTTCTTCGCACAGACAGAAGCAGTAGGAACAGGGCCATTGGAACCAACGCCACCAACTGTCAAGTTTGGTAATTCCCATGGCGCAACCCTGTTTTTTTCCTAGTATTTTTCCATTTCCGTACTCTATGGATTCGTAACGACGACCAGTCAAAGGATTCTAAAAACATCAGTACGTTTCGTTCAAATATCTTTATACTAGCGTGTACCAGCGACTTCGTTCGCGTCGAATTAATGATTTGTAATGGTGATGATAAAGCAAAGCAAGAATTTCCATTAACATACAAACTGGATAAAATTTTCTCACATTTATGTCAGCATGAGAAAAAACAATATGGCGATATTATTATATAACTTGGTAATATTTGAGGGATAGTTTCATCTCGTTGCAATTTGACTTTCGAAAAATCCGTTTGCCAAAAATCAGCTTTTTACGTCAGGCGCTTTAAGCAGGATCGTGATTAATCAATGACTGTATACATTTTTAAAAAATCTTAAAATATTTAAAAAACAAAATAAAATATACGTGTTTAAGCGTTTTTTCGGAAACTTGACCGTTTTTTAAATAAAAAATATTGTAATATTTGAGGGGTGGTTTCACCCTCTTGAAACTGGAATTTCGAAAAATCCCTTCTTATCACACCCTAGAATCAACCTGTATGCCAAAATTGAGCTTCTTACGTTGAGTGGTTTGAGCAGGATCGTGATTAATCAGTATGTCAGTCACTTAAGGATTTTATATATTAGTATAGATTTTGTGTTTAAATGATTTTGTGCCTAGAAGATAAATATATTACTTCGTGGATAATATTAATAACAGCTAACCGCATCTCCAACATAGCTATACAGATATTTCTTAATTTGTTAAAAATATTTTCAGGAGTGATGTGTATTTTCTATTTTCCATTTTTTAAATAAGTCCAAAATAACCTATTTGTGTGTGGCGACATTGCAACATGTAAACAAAAGCGTATAAACGTACATATAACTATTTCTAGGAGTGACTTACGGCGTTGCAAATCCAGATGTCAAAATCTAAAAATTGACAGTTGACAATTCTACCGTCACAAGTCCCTTGCTGCGTACATTGATAGTTATCGTGACATCCGTGGTTCTTGGTGTAGGTGTATTCTGCACACTCTTCTACACAAGTACCTTTTGGGTTTAGATCAATCTCGTTTTGAACATAGCCTTGCATGAAGCTTGTTATCTCTTCGTATGTTTTTCCTTAATAAGAAAAAAATCATACTACTAAAATTTGTCTTTAAAAAACATGTTTTAGAAAATTTTTAGACCAAAAAAAAAAACATTTTTTTATGTATGATGCATATTATTCACCTTTTACATGAACTTTAGGATCACAGTTCCATAAGTCTCTTCCGGCATTTTTCATGATGTTTTTCACAGTAAGTACTACGCTGTTCGTTCTTTCTTGAAACTTTTCCTTGCTCAATTCAGATTCTTTAGTAAAATTTCCTGAAAAATATAGTTTAGTTGGTTTGGTTACTTTAAGGGAATAAATTCTGTCATGTTTTAGATAGCAAAACATTGTCTTTAAATAAATAATACATAAGGACTAGATTATATCATTTTCTAAATAAAATTTGTTAGGATTCAGTGTATTTTTGGTTGAATATCACACTAATCAGTCAAATCATTGGTACGTTTGTTACCTCGTCCATATAGCCTGAGTAGCATGTACGAAAATTGAACCATAGTGAAGCCTTTGAGTTCCGTAAGTGCTATGGCGTCGTACATGTTGTATAGAATTTGCTGTGGGCTTTGTTTAGCTTCGCACATCATCATATCTCCTCCCACTTCCTAACATTATTAGATATTAAACTTTGTTAATTATAAATTAAAAACTCTTACTTCTAAACAGATTTCTAGCACTTTAAATAATCCAGTGTCACTGATACCATTTCCACTGGATACCACAAAACTGTGCATCCTTTCCAACAAGTGTTCTATGGAATTTTGGTCGTGGGATATGACAGTTCTGGCAAAATCTTCCAAAGTCGATTGTTCGTAAGCGTGTTGATGTAGCGCGTACTTCGTCATTCTTTCGTAGCTCGCGTTTATTCGGGCACGGTAGTCCAGTAGTTCGTGAAGTATGAGTTCTAACCGGAATCTTTCTGGTGTATTGCGATAATTAGTTACCGATTGAGTTCCTACAGAGAAAGAATATTTATTTTCTCCCCTAATTTTACCACCCCTTAAAGTATAGCCAAAGAGTAGATTAAGACAAGAGACGACAGTGAACAAAGAAGTCGAATTTCGCGAGAGAGACACATATATTAAAATTTAAAAGTCCCATCAAGTCCCATTTTGTCTGTTGCCAAGTATATTTCTTTGAAAAATAAACAAGATTTTCTGAAAATAAATTAATAATATAAGAAGGATATAAGATAGATAGATAGATAGATATTTCTTTATTTATTTCCAATGTTTACAATAAAAACACATAAAATAGCCCAAACAGGCATGGAAACATTGTCAAATAAGAATATTTCACACCAAAATAATATAATTACAGTTAAGATAATACTACAAAACTGTCGTTATAAGTAACGTATATTAATACGGAAATGTAAATTTTTAGTTTAGGTTGGTTTAGGTTCTTTTTTCGCAATGTACTGATAATATCAAAGAAACAGAATGACAAGTTGATCGATTTCAAAGATAAACAGATAAAATCTCAAAATCTGACAACGGCGTATTTTATCTAATCAAACCTAGTTTTTCGATACTAATCAAACCAGAGTTTTTCGATATATTATCGTTTTGAGAGCTTTTAAGGTTTAATTTTAGTATGGTTTTTGTTGCGTACTAATTTGTAAATATTGTTAAATATGAATACTGAACAGGACACGAGTAGCAGGAAAAGACGAGATGGTGGAAATGTGTGTGCTTATAAAGACTGCAAAAATAGGTCTTATTCTTCGACAAACATAATATTCAACTCTTTTCCAAAGGACCCTGAAAAGTATTTTTATAGAAATATACTATATAATTATGTTATTAAACTAAATGTAATCCATAGATCGAAGACATGGTTAGAAGCTTGTAATATATTTTTTCAAAAAAAATTGAGCAACTCTATTTTTTTGTACATAAACTCCACATTGTGATTTTACACTTGTTCAAGTCCATATGTAAAAAAAATACACGTAAATAAAACATTTTTTACAAATCGACTTGGTCACTTTATCTTGTTTACCAACGATATACAAAATATTACTTTCATTATCTTTATTCCCCGACAAATATGTTTCTAATTATAATTTATTTTATATAATATTTAGAAAACTCATTTTTTTTTCGTTTCTATTTATTTCTTCACCCATACAGTAACTATTTATAAGCTATACAGGCAAGTTTTAATAATAGTCTATTTAAATTTCCCGCGAAAAAATTACGAAAATTTAAAGGGACAAGCGAGACGAGGTCACTCTCCCCACCACTCAAACATGAAAGGTACGCGTGAACTGTCGTCTCTTGTCTTATCTACTCTTTGGTATAGCCTCATTCAGTACCTCGAAATTAGTGGTTTCAATTAGACTTTATACTTTTTAGTTTATGATCTTCAACCATGTTTAAAAAACTACAATTAAAATTAATAGAATATCCTAGCAACATCTTGCTAGGATACGAATTTATAATAAGAATAATAAGTATAATCGAAGAATAATAAGAATAAATAAGAATAATCCATTATAATAATTTGAAAATTGTTATCGGTATTTTTTTTCAAAGCAAATCAAACTTTATTTCTATATAAAATACATGAAATAACAAAAGTACAATACAATTATTTTTTAAATCAATACAAATACTTTAAAGTAATGTTTTAAGTATTTGTATGGATTTTTAACTTGATAATCAGTGTAGATAAGACTTCATTTTTTTTGCATCGAGACCTTTGGTTAACCTACGCCACTGTAACACTTACTGCTTGTAGATTATATTTGGGATTTTACTTAATTTATACATCTATATTTTCTAGTTTTTATCATTATCTGATGGATATGGATTACTTTATTAATAAATGAAATAAAAATATAAACCTAATGTAATACCCATAGCATAAATTTTAAATTTATAAACTAGAGAAGTAAAGACATGTTTTGGCCCAATATATACAACAAATAATATAGTATATTAACAAAAACTGTAAGTAGCTGAAAATTTCGAAAACTTTTAAATAGATATTATTATAGTATTGTCAAATTAATTTTTGAAACGTAAACAAATAAACATTATAAAGGATGTCCCAATATTCCGTGGGCATAGAATATAGAATGTATAGGCATAGACGGAGAAAAATGTTTGCCAACAATTTTCCACGTTTCTTAATAATAAATAAAAGTTGTTTGGCAATTATAACTTGTGTACCTCATAATATTTTTAAGTGTCAAAATTTCACGGGATCGCGCTGGCAGACATAACTACATTTCACAAGAAAAATTAACCATGTAACGATGATAAGGTTTTTATGTAGCCAGCTCTCCGTCTATAGGTTAGATGGTATTTTTTCTCTTACCTATTACGTCAACTTTTGACTCCAAATGTTCCAACTGATTGTTGATTTTATCAAATTTCCCAAAAAGTTCTTTTTCTCTGTTTTGTAAAACGAGCCGGGGCAATTCAGTGAAATCCGTGCCTCCATCGATGATATCCCATGCTTTTAGCAGGGTGTGGACCACAGTTCTAGCCTTTTTCACACTGTCCACAACACCAAAGCCTGGTGTTCCTTGGACCGCGAGTGATTGCAAACACACCAACATTGCGAACAACACTAATGTTTTTGATATGGACATTTTGGGTGTATTTAATAGGAAAAAGTTGTTAAAGTTAATTCAATGTTGAACAGGTTATAGCTAAATCTAAACACCTCGCGAACTGATTTGCTTCTCACAAAAGTCTCTATGTCTAGGAAAATGTGCTGATAAAGAGTTGTTTATATATAAATTTATTCATTTTATGATAAGAAATGACAGGTTAGTAAAATAGTGCATAGAATGATGATCAGTAGCGTCTCCTAGTAACCGTTCTAGGAATTAAAAAAAAACGACAAATGCGACCGGTAGATTTTTACCTATACTTGAAGTATAATATATTTCATAGTTGTAGGGTTATCGGAAAATACCTACCCTTTACTTACCCTACAAATTTGTCTGTTTATGATCCGTCTATACAAACAAGGATTCCCCGTTTTGAACCGATTTTTGTGTCTAGCGTTATTTACAACGATTTGATATCTATTTCTATTTTAGTTTTGATTTTTTTTAGCCAAATATGTTTGATAAAAGTTGTTTATTTACTTTAGAGTTTACTAATAAAAACTAGTATTGCAGTTTGGTCTAAATTTAAGTTTTACACATTTATTTATCGAATAATTTTGACTGTTGGCAACTTGAAAAATAAAACAAGAAATTTAGCTAATATTTATTTATTTGATTTTAATTTGCCAACTGGCATGATGAGACTTATTTCAATCAAATCACAATAAAATTCAAAATCATACTCAAAAAATGTTTCCTTCAATTAAAAACCAGTAAAAAATATTATTTCATCTGAGGTTTTGAAAACTAAACAATATATTCGACCAATACTGATAGTTCTACATATTTCCTATATTTTAACTTAAATCTACGTTGAGTTTTTCGTCGCCCTCGAGAAAAGCGGCCTTAAGGTACTTGCTGACGTCAAAAGTGATGATTCTGGGCGTTATAAAACCTCCAAATGAGTTCCTGCCCTTGTGGAATATTCCTGCCCCAGTTAGAGGCACTGCTTGAAGCGATTCCAGCTGGAATACAAGAAATTCAGTTAAAAATATGGTTAGAGTAGATGATTTAGATTAAGAATTGGTTTTAAGAGTATGATCATGTAGTTATATTTTGGTATTTATTAGTTAGAATTATAAATCATCAATAAGAGTGATTTTAAGAACAAAATACATTAGCCTCAGGTGTCCAAACACTACTTTATACATGGTTTTTTGCTCTTTTTTGTAATTTCCTTCTAATTAAATTTACTGTTGAAAAAGCGACTTTGAACTGAGTGCCAGGACATGTTGAAATGTCAAAATCAACGAATTGGGTCATTTTCTTACAAAAATTGAAGCTAATTATTCATCAAAGACCAAAACCAATCTTTGGTTTCACTAAAAGCCACTTAAATGCTGCTTTAAATAATCCTTGTGTACACAGGGAAAACCAGGTTCTAAGGTTTTCCAACCAGATGATTTTTTTCCTGGAGTATCAACTGAAGTAGACCATAATATCTCTTTTGCTTCTTCATTATGTGTCCCAGATATTCGGATTTTGAGTTGTTTCACTATTTCGTTCTCTCTCCTTTTGAAGCATTTCTAAAACTGTCTTGTTGGATACGTGGTCTACCCAGGAGATTCTAAGAATTTGTGGACGCTTCTGCCAATGTCCAGGACACATACCAGACATTACATTTCAATAGTCTTAGTTTCCACTAAAAAGTTTAAAATGCTTCAATAGGATAGAGAGTAATAGAGATGATCTACTGATCTTTTGTAATATGTAATACTAATTTAATCTATCTACCTTTTGAGCATCGAAAAATGGCACTGTGGTTTGAGCTGCGTCCTTCATAATGTCTGAATGCGTGAATTCGATGTATTGGTCAGTTTTTGAAGTTGGTACGGAAGGTGCAGTGGTTCTAGTGGGTATATCGGGTTGTTTCAGGTAAACTCTGGTCCTAAAACACAAAAAAAAACATTTTTTTTATCGAGCTTCATTTTATTTTTGTTCAGGTTTATGAAAAATAGTTTTAAGGTTAGTTAAAGGATGATTGGCTAGCTCTATGGAAAGACAAATGCTACATATAAGGCTGGCAGATAGAAAAAGGAATGAGTGGATCAGAGGAAAAACTAAAGTAAGGGATGTTAGAAGTGAAGTAGCAAAATTGAAATGGAAGTTTGCCAGTCACAATGTCAGACAGAAGGATGATCGATGGAACAAATGCATCGTAAACTGGAGGCCCTGGGAGAATAGAAGAGGTAGAGGAAGACCCCAGATGAGATGGGAGGACGATCTGAGGAAACATGCAGGCACAAGATGGACGAGCACGGCGACAGAGAGGGAAGAGTGGAAGAGATTGGGGGATGTTTGTCTTGGGCCTATGTCCAACGATGGACCGAAGAGGCTGAATAGATAGATAGATAGAAAGGATGGTTGTTAGTGAATAATATTTACCTAGGTTTTTTAGGTGAGACATCAGTATTGGGATTGTCCTTCCACGTGCTGTGTTCAGGTTTGAGCTTGCCAGTATCGAAATCGAACTTGGTAGTGTATATTTCGAAGTTCAGATGCGTTCCAATCTCTTTAAATCGAACACCTGGAAATTAACAAAGATTATAAAATATTTATTATTAATATTTGTATTTTCTGCCAATAATATGTTAGTTCTGTCACCTTACCTGTCATAACGTAACCGTCATCTGCTTCCAAGTCGTCCAAATCTAGTATTCTCTTTTCCCAACTAAGTGTGTGGTAGTCCTGTCCATTGAAGACTTTCCTGTCTGTTATTTTATAGTCATCCACGGGTTTCCAACTCAGACTACTCGCATTTATGTTCAATCTAGGCAGTAGTTCACCTTCCTGAATCTGTAGGTGTATGATACGGTTCTTTTTGACGAATCTTAGGCCTGTGACCACCCTAGAAGTAAAGGTTTGTTAATAAAAATTCTATAGACAAAAATGAGTTCTTACTTATTGTTCTCGACGTCTGACAGAACGGATCTCATGTTGATGTATCTGTCCGACATGGGTCCTTGTTCGTCGCACAGACAGAAGCAGTAGGAACAGTGCCAGAATAACCAGCGCCACCAGCTGTCAACCTTGGTGGTTCCCCTGGGGCATCCTTGGTCTCTTCCTAGTACTCTACCGTTTTCGTACTTGATGTATTCGTAACGTCGACCAGACTTTGGGCTCTAAAATCATCAGTACCTTTTGTTCAAATATATTTTTTTGTGTTGCATGTTTTCGCAAGTTAAGGAAACATTTTGAGGGTCGCCGTTTTTTTCGTGATTTTTCTTACTTTCATAGGCGGGGTTAAAAAATATTTACACATACATAAAAAAGACAATTTCTCAAAATATATATAGGTATATTATGACTTACTGCATTGCAAATCCACATGTCGGAATCGAAAAATTGACAATTGACTATTTTTCCGTTGCAGTTCCTCTGTTGTCTACAGTATAGGTTTTCGTAACATCCGTGGTTCTTGGTGTAGGTGTATTCTGCGCAGTTTTCTCTGCAGGTACCTTCTGGGTTCAAGTCTACCTCGTTTTGGACGTAACCTTGCAGGAGGTTTGTTATTTCTTCATATGTTTCACCTTAATACAAAGAAAAATATATGTAAATATATGGCATTATAAGGAATTAAGAGACCCAGAAGAATACTAAACCTAAGATTGGAAACCTGATGGTTGAATAAGCTGGAAATTATGGATGATATAGGAAAAACTTTCTTTTGCTTACCTCTTATGTGTTTTTTTGGATCACAGTTCCACAGATCCCTTCTGACATTTTGCATGACGTTTTTCACAGTAAGCACGGCACTGTTTATTCTTTCTTGAAACCTTTCTCTGCTGTTTTCAGATTCTTTAGTGAAATTTCCTGAAAATCATAGATTTATATTAAACATTTTCGATTTGATGTTATTGAATTTTAATTCTTTTTATTAGTGATGACGCCAAAATGTATGCAACTAATATTACACTGAATCCTATCAATTTGTTTGTTTACTTTGAACTCTATGTATACTCGATATAAGGTTGAGAATATAATGACAGAATTTTTTAAATATTTAACAGCACAGTAAAGAAATATTTTGTAGCGTGTTTTGAAGCTGCATAACATAGCCTTCAAATAAATAATACATAAGGGCTATATTATATCAGTTTCTTTCGGCGTATTGTTGGTTGCATATCACTCTAATCAGTCCAATCAAAGGTATATTTGTTACCTCGTCCATATAGCCTGAGTAGCATGTAGGAAAATTGAACCATAGTGTAGCCCTTGAGTTCAGTAAGTGCTATGGCATCGTAGAGGTTATAGAGAACTTGCTGTGGACTCTGTTTTGCCTCGCACATCATATCTCCTTCCACTTCCTAACAAGATAAAAACAACTTTAAAATTGTAAATTCTGAGAGAATTATAGTTATGAAAAAAAAACATGTGTGTGCAAATATTTGACCTGATAAGTAAAAACCAAAAGACAGATTGTAAGCTGAATAGCCATGTGCCACTCTAAGAAGAAATAATAGAGCGCATTTTATGTAGGTGCAGACAATCTGGCAACTGTGTGATTCTTTGTACTAGGCAAATGATAGGTCAATAACAAAGAGCTGTATGGAGGGTTCAGTCAAGTTACTAGACTTTTTGGAAAGGATAGGACTGGATAATGTAACCTAAGAATCAGAAGAGCGTATTACAATAATAGATTTAACCACCTCTAAGATCATACAAAAGGATGACTTTCATATGTAACTCTTCCTTTACCTGTGCCGATGCTTGGAACAGATTCTGCTCCATAGTTTCCTGGACTCTGGACAAGGCATCTTCGACGCTATTCGAGGAATCGTACAAGACCGATTCTGCCAAGTCTATCCAGGCTTGTTTCGGCGAAGGAATCCGTCCAGGAGCTGTTTGTTGTCTCTGGAATCTCCTGAAGGACTCATAGAGGGCGTATATGCCTCTTAAATCAGCGTAGGCAAGTTGCAGAGCCCAGACAGAGTTGAGGCTATCCAGGCCGTAGGTGAAGTCATGATCGAAGTTCTTAGGAAAACAGTAGGGTTTTAGTTTTTTGTGGGTCTCTAGGTTTAATAATTTTTTTTCTTCAAACATCACAAATAACTGATTAAATTTGTCCAAATTCACTAAGGAGAATAGAATAATAGATATTGAAGTATATACAGAATGTTTCTTGAATAGGTACAAGTATTTTAAGAGGTTATATATGTCTGGATATTATAATATATTTCCAATTTTCCATTTTTAAAATAAATTTAAAATATCCGGGTTATCTAACATTTTGAGAACTGCTGATATCAACTGTTTATTTGGTTCCCTGTGTTGCCACATGATCAAGAAAGTATATACTTAACTTGATTCAAAATACTATAAATTTAATTTTCGTTATATATTTGTGTATTAAATTAAAATTACAGTGAATTTATAAACCCTCAAATATGCAGAATGTAGATAAACGTAGGAGGTGACAACATTGCAAAGAGAATGAACCTGCAGTACTAAAAAGTTTTTTAAAGAATCATTTTTTTGCAAAAAAAACACGGTTGGGTTTCTGGGATCGAAAAAAACTATCAATTAAAATACTAGTATTTATTTAAGACTCATTCTGTTATACAGAGCCACTTAAAGTGGCTCAATTTATTGTCTAAGTTTTTTTTGACTTGGAAGAAAAAGTGGAAATATTCAGTCTATACAAAAAAGTGTTCTTTGAAGAAAAAAAATTGAATTTTCCTGAAAATTATTGTCTTCTGTACCTGTTGAATAATGTCTCCAAAATTCTCGAATTTTCTTATAAGATCTAGCTCAGTCTGGCCTACTGTTACTGAGTTATCATTTCCAGGAATGTCGTTTACCGTTTTCCATAGCTGATTTTCCAATTTGAAAAATTCGTAGCGTAATCTATCCACTGGCAGCAGTTTGAGGTTATATTTTGCTACAGCTAGGGAAATTATTGCTAGGAATAATACTATAGTTTTCCTAACAGAGCTTTCCATGTTTAACATGACTTCTCTTTGTGTTTTCCGGCGAGTTAAGCTATTTAATCATGTCTAGTTCGATTTTGTCATTTCTTAGATACACCGGATTCTAGAAAAATAACAATTATTTATCTAAGTTTAATTAATTAAGTATATGCAGTTAGATCTTACAAGGTGTTCAAAATAAATTTATGAATTAGGACTATTTTAAACTGAGACAAAAAATAATATAAATAAACAAACTTTACTATACAAAAGGAGAGTACCCAAGATACACAAACGAGATGTAAAAAAATGTTTTAAATTTAATAAACATTAATTTTATTTTCTGGTCAATTTTATAAATTATTTACCTTTGTTTCCTAGGTCTTTCTTTATTGTTTCAACACAAACTACGTTAAGCACGTTATAACATAAACTGGCCTGAAATGTATTTTTAATTAACAATAATTTTCTCTCTATTTCTTGATTCAGATCCACAATAATTCAAACCAATGGCGTAACGAACGCACGAACGTTGTACAACCAAACAATCACTTATTACTAATATTTCTGCAAACCAGTTGTTGTTATTTTTTGTGCAAATATATGAATAATGTCGCGCAGCGTTGCTTTTGCTGCCTTCAAGGTGGATTGTTAATAGAATCCAATAAAGCAGAGTTATAAGGTCAGGAATTTAAATAGAATTCAAAGAACACAAAGTTTTTCTTTGTGGGTACTAATTGGTTCGTTAAAAAATATGTCGGTTAATTGTTATTTTTTGCCAGTGGCGTTTCACGATATTTTTTTCTGCTTCAGGTACAAAAGAAAAAAAATTAAAATTATATTGGTTTTGCTCATAATTTTTGTCTTATTTGATAAAAAAGACAGTATGATTTTCCAATTCTGATTTATATTATTAAGAATTATTGATACAGACACAAATAAATACTATACCGGATGTTGCATCGTCGAGCGGGACATAGGAAATCCCATGTAAATTTTAATGGGGTCAAGTTTTATTGTGCGTGGAAGAGAACGATGGAAAGATCAGCACAAGGAAATTTGAGGATGAAATAGGAATAGATCACACTACAGCGTTTCGAATTTTGAAACGACATAAATATTATTCCTTAAAATATGAAAAGCACCAAGAGCTACGAGATGGGGACGAAATACGGCGGCAGGCGTTTTGTTTTGATATGATGGAAAGAGCAAACACGGATAGGGAATTTTTAAAAAACATATGTTTCACTGACGAATGCACGTTTAGCTTAAATAATGAACCCAATGTTCAAAATTATCGATATTGGAACAAAGAAAACCAACACAGGTTTGTCGAAACAAGGACGCAATATCCACAGAAAGTAAATGTTTGGGCAGGGATATTCGGACACAATATTATCGGGCCATTATTTCTTGCGCGAAATTTAAATGCAGAATATTATTTGGAAGTACTCGAAAATCATATTTTACCTGCTTTACATGATGCCGCTAGGGAAAATCAGGCAGTTTGGTACCAAATGGATGGCTGCCCGGCACATAGTACCCTGGCTGTTCGGGAATATTTAGACAATAGTTTTAACGGAAACGTTATTGGCCTAAATCATATAGTAAATTGGCCAGCAAGGTCTCCTGATATTTCGCCAAATGATTTCTTTCTCTGGGGCCATTTAAAAAACAGGATATACAAGGATAAAAAATACCCAAATCTAGACGAGTTAAAAAATGCTATTTCTGCCGAATGCAATAAAATTTCAGTTTACCAACTAGCGAATGTAAGAAGAGAATTTTATGATCGCCTGGGTTATTGTCTAGCAGTCGATGGAGGAATATTTGAACATCTTCTTAAATCCTAAAGTTCTAACAATTTAATGGTACCTAAATTAATAAGTTATTGAATATTGTAATAATACTATAATTAACCTTGTAATTGATTACTTTATTTTACTTTCGTTCATATTAATTTGTATTTATAAATACATCTTAAGATTTCCGATGTAGGAATGAGTTTTCAATAATAATAAAGCACTAAATAGGTAAATTTCTGAAATGACAACTTCATTTGACAGTTATCTTTTACCTTGACTGGTGCTCATAAGTAAATACAGGGCCATAAGAAAGGAGAAATATTTAAAAAGAAATCGGCGATAACTCGAAACGTAAAACGAGCTAATCAAAAATATCTTAAGTTATTCTTTTGAATGTGGGTTTTAGTGCTCTTCAATAAATCTAAATAGAATTATTCTCTAAAGTAATTAGGGAAGTCAATAATTAACCCCATTAAAATTTACATGGGATTGGCTATGTCCCGCTCGACGATGCAACACCCGGTATAGCAATAAATAAAAATTTAAAAGTAGGTACTGTAGTACGAAAAAATATGGGGAAAAAATCTAGTAAGTGGCAACACTGGCAACATGGCATTTGTCTGTTTACATCTGGTTTGTATATCTTGGGCACTTTCGTTTTGTACAGTTGGCAGTGTTGCCAGAAATTTTCGAGCGAATTTCTTCATCGAAGCCTTAAAAAACATTCGTATTCCTTCAGCTTTACAAATAATTCTAGATCTCTATACAAGATCACCAAATTTCGTGTATTTTCCATATTTTGTAATTAGGAGAAAATTTTATAAAACTTATTTCTGGTAATTTTTGGACAATAAATTTTTTACAAAAAAAATAGGTATTATAAAGTATGTTTCAAAAAATTCATTGCTTACTACATATTTTAACAATTTCTATGGTTCAAAACTGCCAGAAACCTCGATATTGTCTTCTTTTTGGATCAAAATCCTTCAGCCTTTCGTTCAAGGAAATTTGACTGTAAAATCCTTCATATTGAGGGAAATCCTTCAAATCTGGCAACACTGACAGTAGGTAAAGTTTGTCAATTTATATTATTTGTCTTAGTAATTACTGCTTAATACTTATAATTAATTAAAAAAATTGTTTTACGTATAAAAATAAATATTATTTCACGTAAACCGAATAATATCGATATGTTTTCAGTGTAGATATCGAAAATATAGGTGCATATCAACATTTTTTAAGACAGCGCATCACTAGTTCAATTCTAGTCGAAGTTATTAATATTTAAGTAACATTTAGTAATAATAACACCCTTTCTAGCGAGTTAAACATCGTTGTCGACGACAATGGTAGGAAACGATTTGATTACTTTATGTTTCGAAGCCGGATAGACATCATATTATTAAATCATTACATTATTTCTATACGCATTCGTTTTGTTTTCATTTAATGTTGTATGACGTCAAAAATAAGCTAATATAAACATTTTATTTAGCACAAAAAGTAGGTCTAAATCAAATATACCATATGATCGAAAAAAAAAGCGTCAAAAACGGCTCGGAAATGATGAATTTACTAAAAATTCACATAAAACTCATCAAAAATTAACCTTAATATAGAAAGATTAAAAAAGGGTAGAACGTATTTCTAAAAAATTACTTTTTCTTAAATTTTAAATTACACCATTTAAAAACAATTTTTACTCGGAATGAAAATAAATTACAACCTTCTTAAGTCAACTGGCAATAAGCGCCATTAAAAAACCAAGAGTACGGGCCAAGAAAATGACGTCTAGGGCTTGACCTCGCCAAAATTATCATCGATTGCCATTCTCAGCCGTCTTTGACGCCGTTTTTTTTCTCGATCCTATGTTATAACACTAAAAACTTCACAAGCACTACGAAAAATGATTTCTAACGTTTCTAACTGTAAATAAATGATTTAAATCGCCGAAAATCTGACCTTTGAGTTTTCTAATCTTGTCTGGGGGTCATTTAAGGACGGACACGTTATTGCGACTCTTTCTCTGGCGAATTATATCCAAAATGACCGTGTTTTTGAACGAACTGGACAGGAGGAAGTGACTAAAAGCGTACTGGTGCGACGATTGTGGGTCGACTGATTGAATAAAATACAGAGAGAGGCTTGATAGCGGTGTCACCTCGATGAAAACGCGAATTGAACTGTCTGTGTGCTGTTGAAAAAAGAGTGGTGGAAATCGTATAAATAATTCGTTTAAATTGTGTTTGTTTTTGTTCTTGCGAGAGAATTCTGCACCTGCGCTAAATCGAAGTAAGCGTAGGAAAATCAAATACAAAAATACACTGGAAGAAAATTCAATGACTATAAAGAATACAAGGACCAATAAGACCTGGAATAAAAATTTTACCAAGACTATTTTTGTATACCGGGTGCGTCCCAAAGTTCACCCTTATAACTTTTTTATTTTTCAGATAAAAAAAATACATTTGGTATGTTAGTATATGACATAAATTAGGATTGATTGACGTATTCAATTGTTTTTGGTTACTGCCTGTTTCACCGGAAATGACAACAATTTTTGATTTTTAAATGGCACCCTCGGTATATGTTTACTTTATTCGATAGAAAATGACACTCTCTGAATAGAATGACATATCATATGTCAACTTTTGACATTTTCGCTTAAAAATCGTATTTTAAATGTCAATCTAGAGTGCCATGGCCGTGTTAAAAATATTAATTTTTAATCAAGGGGCCTTGGAAAAATAAATTTGATCGTCTGATGTTTTTCGTGTCTTGTCCTGGCCGGTTAAAAGATGACCAAATCGTATTTTTAATCATATCTCAATTTTTTCAAATGGAACAAGAGTGGCTCAATTGGTTTTGTTTGGTCAGTCAATCCTAATTTATGTCATATACTAACATACCTAATCTCGTTTTTTGATCTAAAAAAAATAATAAAAAAGTTATAGGGGTGAACCACTTTTGAGACGCACCCGGTATAATTTTCGGATTTTTCGCTATACTTGTAGTATCAGACGGTATCACTTGCCAAACTTCATAGTTCTAGGTCAACGGAATATAAACCCTATAAATTTTGAATCCATTGAGATTGTCGAAATGTAATATACAGGGTGAGTTTGAAATAAGTGTATTATATTTTTTATATTTTTTTTAAGTGCGTATAAACGACGAGGGAAAAAAATTTCTCGAAATTTTTTAGTTAAAAAACATAATTTCTTGATAATATGGCAACATAGGTAGTGGATTAAATTGACAAGAAAGAAAATCCAGAAAAGATCCAGTGGTTCTCAAAATTTAAGCAAAAAATAATTTTTTTGGAAATTTCCAAAGTAAAATAACTCTCGAGTGTTAAATATGTTTCTTTTCTCGAGATCTACCAGCCCTGAAAATATTTACACTTATTTAGGACTCACCCTGTATAATATAAACGAATTCCTCAATTGGTTTACTACTCGTAAATATAATTACTTGCTAGTGAAAAGTTGTTCCATTATTTTTAATGTGTTTAAAACTATTTTCGAAGCATTTTTCTAAGACTCTCCATAATCTCACTTTGTTCAAAAACTGACACAATATCTTTCCAAATTTACACACTTTACGTAAGACCAAATATACCAAATAAGCATAAATATACCGCTGTAAAAAATTTTGCACCCACATGTTTATTAGAAATTTATTATAAAAAACAAATAAAAAATAATCAATACCTACTTCATACTATTTTTTATTAAAATGTTATACAGAGTGTCCTGTCTAAGACTCACCATAATCTCACTTTGTTCAAAAACTGACGCAATATCTTTCCAAATTTACACACTTTACATACGACCAAATATATCAAATAAGCACAAATATACCGCTGTAAAAAATTTTGCACACGCATGTTTATTAGAAATTTATTGTAAAAAACAAATAAAAAATAATCAATACCTACTTCATAGTATTTTTTATTAAAATGTTATACAGAGTGTCCTGTCTAAGACTCACCATAATCTCACTTTGTTCAAAAACTGACGCAATATCTTTCCAAATTTACACACTTTAACATAAGACCAAATATACCAAATAAGCACAAATATACCGCTGTAAAAAATTTTGCACACACATGTTTATTAGAAATTTATTGTAAAAACAAAAAAAAAAATAATCAATACCTACTTCATAGTATTTTTTATTAAAATGTTATACAGAGTGTCCTGTCTAAGACTCACCATAATCTCACTTTGTTCAAAAAACTGACGCAATATCTTTCCAAACACACTTTACATAAGACCAAATATATCAAATAAGCACAAATATACCGCTGTAAAAATTTTTGCACACACATGTTTATTAGAAATTTATTGTAAAAACAAATAAAAATAATCAATACCTACTTCATAGTATTTTTTTATTAAAATGTTATACAGAGTGTCCTGTCTAAGACTCACCATAATCTCACTTTGTTCGACGCAATATCTTTCCAAATTTACACACTTTACATAACGACCAAATATATCAAATAAGCACAAATATACCGCTGTAAAAATTTTGCACACACATGTTTATTAGAAATTTATTGTAAAAAACAAATAAAAAAATAATCAATACCTACTTCATAGTATTTTTTTATTAAAATGTTATACAGAGTGTCCTGTCTAAGACCCACCATAATCTCACTTTGTTCAAAAACTGACGCAATATCTTTCCAAATTTACACACTTTAACATAAGACCAAATATACCAAATAAGCACAAATATACCGCTGTAAAAAATTTTGCACACACATGTTTATTAGAAATTTATTGTAAAAAACAAATAAAAAATAATCAATACCTACTTCATAGTATTTTTTATTAAAATGTTATACAGAGTGTCCTGTCTAAGACCCACCATAATCTCACTTTGTTCAAAAACTGACGCAATATCTTTCCAAATTTACACACTTTAACATAAGACCAAATATACCAAATAAGCACAAATATACCGCTGTAAAAAATTTTGCACACACATGTTTATTAGAAATTTATTTTAAAAAAAACAAATAAAAAATAATCAATACCTACTTCATAGTATTTTTTATTAAAATGTTATACAGAGTGTCCTGTCTAAGACTCGCCATAATCTCACTTTGTTCAAAAACTGACACAATATCTTTCCAAATTTACACACTTTACATAAGACCAAATATATCAAATAAGCACAAATATACCGCTGTAAAAATTTTTGCACCCACATGTTTATTAGAAATTTATTGTAAAAAACAAATAAATAATCAATACCTACTTCATAGTATTTTTTATTAAAATGTTATACAGAGTGTCCTGAATAAGTGAATGTATTTTAGGTAGTGGTAAACCTGGACAAAAAAAACTCTTTTTAAAATAAATCGAAAATAACCGAATTATTTAACTGTGAAATTTAAAAAAAGGAATACATACATTTTGAGGACCGCCTTGGCTTATTCGACGTCCTGTGTTGCCATTTGGTCAAGAAAGTATATTATTCTTTGAGTTTGGTTGAAAATTACCGAAAAAATCCAATGCGTTCTTCTAGAGTCATTAATACCATTACTGATGTAATTAAATTTAATTTTCATAATTTATTGTGTAGAAAATTAAAATTAATGTGAATTTTTAAAAGCACAAATATGCAGAATGTTTGGAACGTAGGAGGTGGCAACATTGCAAAGCTTCAGGAGAACGAACCTGTGGCATTAAAAATTTTTTTTTTAATTTTTCCAACAAATGAAAAAAATTTTTTTCAATTTCACTTATTTCACAGACACCCTGTAGATATATCAAATGACTTTCCTACTTACCTCTAAGCTACTATCTAGAAGTTTAAACAATCCCGTGTGGCTAATACCGTTGCCGTTAGGTACTATAAAACTGTGCATCCTCTCCAGTAACAGTACTATGGAGTTAGGATCGTGCGATATGACAGTTCTGGCAAAGTCTTCCAGAGTCAGTTGTTCGTAAGCGTGTTGATGTAGCGCGTACTTCGTCATTCTACGATAACTAGCGTCTATTCGGGTACGATAGTCTAACAAATCGTTCAGTCTCAGTTCTAAACGAACTCGCTCTGGTAGACTGTGCAGAATGGTGGTCATAGATTGAGTTCCTGCAAGAGAAAAAAAACTTGTTTTTATTTCAGAAAAATCACTTGTTTTAAATAGAAAATGAAATATCTATATTTTTTTATATTAATAATCTTAGAGCATCGAATGTCCTAGAGACACTTTCATCGGTTACGATTCTGTAGCCAACATAACACTTGTGTGACGTCGTTTAAGGGAATAATAAACCTGAAACAGCTGAAGAGGAGTGACTAGACTTGAGAAGTCTTTGCTCTATGTGCTCTAACAAAATAAAAAGATACATCGAGTATCTTTATGTTTACCACGTATTTTTTTTAATATTGTTTGATTGCCGATTCACAATTGTTTCTATTATCTCATGTAAACTCATAAAAGTATATACAGGGTGTCCCAGAAATAAGTGCGAGTATTTTAACTTGTAGTATAGGTAGTTCAACAATTTTGAAAATTCGAAATTTTTTGGAAGTTTTTTTAGTTTTTAGTTAAAAAAACATAATTTCTTGATAATATGGCAACATAGGTATTAGATTAAATTTACAAGAAAGAAAATCCAGAAAAAAATCCAGTGGTTCTCAGAATTTTAGCAAAAAATCTTTTTTTTTTTGATATTTTCAAAGTAAAATAACTCCGACTTATTTGAGAAACGATTAAGAGAAAATATGTTTCTTTTATCGAGATCTACCACCCCTTAAAATACTTGCTCTTATTTCTGGGACACCCTGTAGAGATACAAAAACATTTTATTTTCTATTAAATTATGTAATTTAATAGGGGTGTCTACCAGACCACTCTGTAACAAGTTAAGACGGATTATTCGGTATGTTTTAGGGTTAAATTAGGGCTTCGGTTGGTCTAGAATTAAGATTTATTTTTTTCCTAACAAGTTTTTTAATCTAAAATCCATTTTTGTTTGATATACAATCAATCGATACGTGTGAATGAACCTTATTGTCCTGCATTCAATGGTACAGGAAACAAGTATAGACAGAAACATGTGCTGTTGTAACCAGTGATTCACTGTTCGAAAGTAAATATTTTTTTACAAAAATACCGGTGTCGGGTTGCTATGAAATGTTCCCCATAGATACTAATTCACGGATCTTAGCATAGATTATGTTTATTTTATTCTACGAATCGTATATTCTTTGAATAACTAATTTAAACAAACCGTTTGTGACCAAACCAATCACCATCAGAAATAAATGAATCACCTTAGCAAGGTGCAAAAAGAAAAAGTTGCTATATGACCTGATTTACAAATTTAAACAATTTCTTGACGAAAAATAGTATAGTCAATTGATCAAGTCATTTGAGTTCACTTAACTCGAAAACACGTCTTTAAAGAATTCTGGTTCGATAGAACCTAAACTTTGTCATCATTCATGGAACACAGGACAAAAAGTTGACTTTAATAATGCAAAAATTACAATGAAAAAAATCTGGATAAAATTACATTTTCGGCAAAGTCCATACATCAAAATAAAATTAGGCATGTTTTGTTCAATTCGGTATACGTCTAGGTATAATTTTTCAATTTGTAGCATAATTGAGGACTGGCTGAGCTTACAAAGCGACGTGCTGTGTGCACTTGCAAGATGATTTATTACTGCAGAGGACATTAACTCTATCCAGTGTTCAGACGACTAATGAAAGTAAAGATCGTTATGTAATGGGTAGAAAAGATTAAGAGAAAAATAATGTTATAGGCTTGTATAAAACCAGACAAATTATAAATGAACAGAATTAAGCATTTTGTGTTGCTATAATTAATTTATCAGCTGTGGATCTTGAAGATACTTAAGTTATTTAGCCTTGATCAAAAATATGTTTCAATCAGAGATATTACAAGAAGTAGATTGTTATTAAAGTTTACTATACATTGATTTGTTTTGTACCAAAAATATACAAACAGAATGTAAACAAACCGTTTTTTATTTTTAATTTGATTTAACCACAGACTTACCAAAGACTTGTTTCTCAATGTGGCTCACCCCTATAATTTTTTTTATTTTTTCAGATTAAAAAAACGAGATTCAGTATGTTAGTATATGACATAAATTAGGATTGATTCTCGTATTCAACTGTTTCACCGGAAATGACTACAACTTTTAATTTTTAAATGGCACCCTCGGTATTTTTTACTTTATTCGATAAAACACGACACTCTGAATAGAATGACATATCACATGTCAACTTTTGACATTTTCGCTTGAAGAAAAGTCAAGTATTTCAAAATTTCAATCTAGAGTGCCATGGCTGCGTCAAAGAGTAGATAAGACAAGAGACGACAGTTCGCGCGGTACCTTTCATGTTTGAGTGGTGGGGAGAGTGACCTCGTCTCGCTTGTCCCTTTAAATTTTCGTAATTTTTTCGCGGGAAATTTGAAATAGACTATTATTAAAACTTGCCTGTATTTCTTATAAATAGTTACTGTATGGGTAAAGAAATAAATAGAAACGAAAAAAAATGAGTTTTCTAAATATTATATAAAATAAATTATAATTAGAAACATATTTGTCGGGGAATAAAGATAGTAAAAGCAATATTTTGTATATCGTTGGTAAACAAGAGAAAGCGACCAAGTCGATTTGTAAGAAATATTTTATTTACCTCTATTTTTTTTACATATGGACTTGAACAAGTGTAATATCACAATGTGGAGTTTATGTACAAAAAAATAGAGTTGCTCAATTTTTATTTAATAAATCCTCGCGAATACAAGCTTCTGACCATGTCTTCGATCTATGGATTACATTTAGTTTAATAACATAATTATATAGTATATTTCTAAAAATACTTTTTAGGATAATTGGATAAAGAGTGAAATAGTATGTTTGTCGAAGAATAAGATCTATTTTACAGTCTTTATAAGCACACACATTGCCACCATCTTGTCTTTTCCTGCTACTCGTGTGTCCTGTTCAGTATTCATATTTAACAATAATTACAAATTAATACGCAATAAAAACGATACTAAAATTAAACCTTAAAAACTCTCAAAACGATAATATATCGAAAAACTCTGAAAACACACTTTAAAAAAGGCAAAAATGCAAGAAAACAACTAATCAGATTTGTTTATGTTTAAGCCTGATTAGCACAGCTGATTAGCGTCCTAAAATCATAGGTTAGAATAAATAAAATACGCCGTTGTCAGATTTTCAGATTTTATCTGTTTATCTTTTAAATCGATCAACTTTTTAGTCATTTTGTTTCTTTGATATTATCAGTACATTGCGAAAAAGGAACCTAAACCAACCTAAACTAAAAATTTACATTTCCGTATTAACATACGTTACTTATATCCTTCTTATATTATTAATTCATTTTCAGAAAATCTTGTTTATTTTTCAAAGAAATATACTTGGCAACAGACAAAATGGGACTTGATGGGACCTTTAAATTTTAATATATCTGCGCCTCTCTCGCGAAATTCGACTTCTTTGTTCACTGTCGTCTCTTGTCTTATCTACTCTTTGGCTGTCTCTTGTCTTATCTACTCTTTGGCTGCGTTAAAAACACGAATTTTTAATCAAGGAGCCTTGGAAAAATAGATTTGGTCGTCTAATGTTTTTCGTGTCTTGTCCTGACTGATTAAAAGATGCCCAAATCGTATTTTTAATCATATCTCAATTTTTTCAAATGGAACGCGGGTGATTTATTAGCATATTATTTGGAAAAAGCATTTTTTTACTAATAATTTAGTACCACACACTTGGTATTTCGAGTCAAATTGTCGTTATGAACCGCATGTGACAATTTCAAATAAACCAAACGCGAAACTTTGAAACTATGGAAAGACAGGTTTTCTATATCTTCGAACGTCTATAGTTGTTCCAATACAAACAGTATTTATTATACTCAAAATATCGACTACTGAGACTGTTTATAAGTATGAATTGAAACTGATATTTTATTAACAGTACTTCTTACCTATTTCGTCGACCCTGGTTGCCAAATCCTCCAGCTCATTGTGGATGCGGTCGATCTTGCTGAAAAGCTTGTTCTCCGTGCGATGCAAAATGGGTATGGGCACTTCATTGAAGTCGATGTTTTGATCGACAATGTCCCAGGCTTTTGCCAGGCTGACAACGACGTCTTTGGCCACATTGATGATATCTAGGACCTCCGATAGGGTTACTGCTTGAGTCGTTTGCAGCGAAACCGCGGACAGTGCAAAGATTATTAAAAATTTTGATGTGGACATGTTCTTAAGTGCGTTTCACACGGCCCAAAGGCCGGATTTACTTGTTGAAAACCGCGTGCTTCAAGGTGAATTGAAAGAAAGGAACAAGGAATGGTTATATTTAGAGAATATTATGGTGTGGCTACTAGGAGCAAACACCTCGCGAACTGCCGCACATCTGCGACAAAATACAAAAGCTCTTTCTTCTCTGTCTACCGAATGTACCGATGGGAATGGTACCGGCGTTGCCATGTCGACGAAAAATATTTCCTGATTTTTTCTGTTGTCACGTTGTCACTCTTAACTAATAATTAGTAATAATTCATATTTCGCAATCGAATTAATAATTCGAATTATTTAGTAGTATTATAAATTTAACGTAAAAATAAATTCGTCCCAGCTAGTGCTCGTCTAGGGGCTATTTTAAACAAATCTGAACCATTTCCATACCTATATTCTATCACTGAATAAAAAATAAAAAAAATATTCTTTATTCAATGTATTCTATTAACTGTGCCGAAGCCGTTTAATAAATTAAACCATAATTTAAAGTTTTAAATTTAAAAGTGCCGTGTTTATGATTGTTTCAATTCCTATTGAAAAGCTCATATCTAAAATAAAAGCTTCTTCTAAAACGATATAAGTATGTCCTTGTTTACGTGCGGTTCGTATTTCTTTTTATTTTATCAGTTGCAA